ATAGCTGTTCGCTTTGAGGTTCTTTCGACAAAGAACCTTAAACACAATCTAGGCAAAAAGACCTTCCTAAATAATGACAAAATTCTTTAAGAATAACTGAAATAAACTTTCTTCAAGTGAAAACGAAACGATTCCCTAACTTTGGTGCAAGTTACAGAATGTGACTTCTTACAAATTGTGTTTAGGATCAACAGCAAAAAAAAAAAAAATGATTCATTTGGATCTATAATCTTACTAAACTTTTTATTTCGGCTTAAAACGCAAAGTGTGGTCCAAATTTCAGTTAAATCATAACTATCTTCTTTAACGAAAACAAGAGGCAATACCCGCCTACAAACTCTAAAATCTCTGATCTATGGAACATAATTAATTTAGATTATTCTTTTTGTCACTTCATGCTCTGACTGAAACCGTTTTAGTTTTCGTATGCTTAAAATTACGATAAAACTTGAATAATATATTTTAGAGACAGTAGTATATCGACTGGTTTAAAAATGTTTAAACTTGTAAAATCAGGTGGATTGTTTTTTGACACCAACAAATATTCCTGTCCGCTTTGTAGGAACAAAAAAAAACTAATGAAAATATTCAACAAAGTAAAAGGTTATCCAACTTATGCGATCATTAGTTGTATAACAGCATTTAGAAGTTAACTGTGTCTCTTAATTCAGTTCTTGCTTAAACGTTTGGAGTATTATGGTAGAGGACGTTGACGATCATCAAAACCCTGATTTATTAGTCAGCGTCGCCTAACTCTCAATAGTTACATAAAATTTATCTTAAATCCGTTACATAGTTTCGGGTTTTGTTTTTTACACTGTTGTAAAAGAAAATGTTTGGTACATAAATGCCACTTTTATCTCCGTCGTTTCGGAGTAATCACTACTTGTTGTGTGAAATATTGAATCCTATCTTAACCTATAAACTCAGTAAAACAGGTAATACGTTTTTCTATATAGCTATATATGTTTAGAGGATACACTGGTCAGGAAAATGAAACTTCCATTCAAATGTTCTTTGCATTATAATCGAAAAATAAAACAACTTGAGTTGCCGCCGGTTCTTCTGATCCTGACGTCTTTATACAAATCCCATACATAATTAATGAGGACATTTATCAAGTGTATTTTACTCCACGCTACCACATTACAGCTTGTTATAGTCCCTTAGGAATGCCAAAAAAATAGGAAGAATGAGTAAATACAACGGACTCGTGGATAACAAAGCATTATTAACATCATCGTAATAAAAATAGCTTTTTGTACAAAATCATCAATAATAGGCTTTGATTTAAACATGGCAATTGTCGAATAATTTTCCAATTTAAGTGAGTCTACGGCTAATTTCATCATATGATAAGCCTATCATGTCATAGCGATAACTTTGAGTACCTATACTGATAACATCTGGGGTTCATTTTCTCTGATGGTCACAGAGTAAGTTTTTATTTCGCGTTGTATCGTCATAATTTAACAATCTTGCTAGGTACGTGAAAGAAAGGTCATAATAGGTAATGGGAGATATAATATTTTAACACAGAAAGAAATCGTTTTAGTTCATTACCAATTGATCTCCTTGATCAAAACAAGTCTATTTGTTTGTTCTTAAGAGCAAAGTTGCACAAAATTGGATATCTGTGCTGTCTCTCCAACACAGGGATCATACCCCAAATTTTAACGGGGATACTAACATAAAAGATAAAAAGTAAATGTGATAGTCCAAAATAATTTTTAGAACAAACACAAAGGGGGAGAAAATGCTCTAAAATATGAACTTAACACTTCACTAACAGTCCAGTTTTAATAAACTTGTATTCGATTATCGCCAGAAGACTTTTTCTTATACATTGCCTACAACGTTTAGCACGCGCTAACGACGACGACGTGCTGCAGCTGTTGGCAACATACGCGAAAAATTTTTTTCTTAAATCTATTGTGACATTTTATATTCTGATAAAGAGGTTTAAAGTTTCATTGAGCGTAGTCAAAATTACAGTGGATCTAAAAATAAAAAGGTTACTCAGAAAATTATATGTACGAAGATCCTCAAAGACAGAAAGAAGGAAAATAATATGCTAAATAAATGCGATTTTGCCAATGTGTGCATAAAAAGGGCGAAGGAGGATTGATGGTAAAAAAAGGCTTATTATCCTGCTCACAGTTAACTCGTTGAGATTCTTTTTGTAATTCCTGTTGGAATGAATGAGTTTATATGTCTGCAGTACATACAACTTTACTTTGGTTATCTTTAATGAAACAAGATGTCGAATTTTGTCTTCTCGTCAAATTTTCAAGATATTGGTTGAATAAGACATACGAAAAGAGAACGTATATTTGGATATTGATAAGGCGAAAACAGAAATATGTACATCAGCTGTAGGGAAAACATACCATGCAATATTACTGTTTACTCTGATTTCAGGTCAGCATTCGTAACAAACTAATTTATGTACTGATGTAAGTTAATACGATTAAAATAAACAAATCATCAACTTTTACGATTTTATGCGTTTTATTGAATTGGATTTTGCTCGAGTAAGAAGTTGTTATTCCAAGTGTTGCACCTTTTTTGAGACCTTCATCGTTGACCATTTAAATCCATTTGTATCAACCTTATACCTCTCTCTCTCTTATAACTTTTATCTTTGACTTATGAACCTTATATCTGTGACATGTACAGTTTAAAGCTTTTACCCTTTAAGTATGATATTGCTCTCTGATAATAGGTTAAACATACCTTTGCTGCTAACAGGGGGAAATAAATAAGGTCCCAGAAAACTGCAGCGAAATGTAATGGAAGTGTACTAGTTTCGTCATGGATGAAAGCTGACGTTAATTTCTTTCTTCCTGTGTTCGTCATAGACAACAAAAGCATTGTTCATTGTTCGTTACCTGTTTACTATTGTTTTACGCCATAGAAGGATGGCTATTGAACCACATACTTCAGCACGTTTAAAAAATGGCAAATACTCTTTTTGGATCCAATTTACAATTTTTTCGTTCTGTATGTGAGTAACATAAACCCTTCTTGAAAGAATTATATCAACTTCCACCAGAATTTTATATAGCTAAATAGGAAATTTACGTCAGGTCAAGAACTTGCATATATATCATCATAAATTAATGTTAAAATTCAACGAAACAACTTACAACAGATGGCGCTCAAAATCGAAACTTTGATGATTTTTATAATAGCAACTAGACAGAAAGGGTAAAATAATTATACCAGAATAAATTAGGACAAACGCTCTCACAGCTTGTGCTTTTCACTTCGATGTGATTTGACAGTCTTAGCAGCTTCATAGAAAATCGTGATCTTGTTTACAAATTAAATTTAATATCAACACATATTTTTTTTTTCTTTTTTGTACATGACGAACAATCAGAAACACGAGTGCAGCGGAGTTGTTCTTTTCTTTATATACAATTTATTCATTTAGCGCTATTACGATTCTATTCTATGGTGAACGAGAAAGTTAATATATTTGCTGTTTGTCGCACTTTATCATTTACAACCTGCACGTTGTCTCACTTTAGAATATATATATAGGTAATAAAATAAAGTTCTTGCCAAGCGTGACTTTTTTCGTGAAGCTGGCTCTACAGAATCTTTGTTTCAGAATTTCCTGCAAGATAATACGGGGGGCTATTTGCTTTTTTAATTACGAGCTCTTAAACTAGAGATTTGTTTGTTTGTATTTAAGCACAAAGCTACACCTTGGGCTATCTGTGTTCTGCCCACCACGGGTATCGAAACCCGGTTTCTAGCGTTGTAAGTCCGCAGACATACGGCTGTGCCACATAGACTAGAGGGGAGGCTGCTAATCAACACCACCGTCAACACTTGGGCTAGTCTTGTCTGATCGAACTGTGGATTTTGACTATCATTCTTATGGAGTATTGACGATCTTAACGTGTAGAGCGCGTGTTTGTTCCAAGAGGTCACGAACCATGGACACTGGGACTCACAGTTCGGCCACACTAATAATTGGGTCACGCTGGTCCATTTACGGAACTAAGAAATCCGAGGTAACCACCTTTTAAAATCATTTTTGATATCTGTTTTTAAAGACATTAATACTCAATTCTATTTTACTAAATCTGTAAATCACCATTGATGAACAATAAAACATATAAATATAATACATTAATAGGGATTTTCTCATAGTAGTGAATTTATAAATAAAATTACCTTATCAATTACAACTATTTTATATCTGCCCGTCATGCATAGAAAACTTACAGACTCTTGTCATACAAAGCAAAAGTTTTATTTAAACAAAACTTCATATATTTAACTGGCATATATGAGAAAGGTGATCCAGTATCATGCATTACAAATTATACACGTTTCAAATTTCTCTATGCTCTCCCCTCCTGTAGCTCAGCATCAAGCTTCAGTGTATATAACACTACCTTTCGGGGTTTGATACCTGCGGTGAGCATAGCATAGATAGCCAATTGTGTAGTTTTGTGCTTAAAAGAAAACAAACAAATTATCTATTCCAACTGCAATAACCCATTGACATGCATTTGTAATGTATTTAAACGCAGAAAGTATTATTTATTGGTCATTATCCCAGCTTTTAGCTCAAACATAATTTACCCTCTCCTTTTTTTACTTTATAACAGACCGAAGCCTTAATTTCAGTTTGCATGCTTACTATACAGCAGTGAGTGAGAAATTCTTTAGTAGCTTCCTGTCTATATCTTTTCATTTGTGATTCGAATAAACTGTAGATAAGATTGTAAAGTTTGAAATCCTTATTAAGTCCTTCTCAGTAAAGAATGGATTAATTTGGAATTTCATTTGACATTTTCTTGCCGATTGTAGATAAATACTGTCAGTCAGTAGCATCTAGAACTCTTCTAAAAAAAGGTGTAAACAGGTCGGAGAAGGTTAAAAGTGTTTATGTTCTAACATAAACAACTAAGTATAATTTCTAGATAATACAAGTTAACATCGAGTTTAAACAAGATATTGAATGATCAAGTACTCACCATTAACGAACATTCCTGGTGTGGCTAAAGACAGAATGGCCGCTACACAAAGCCAGGAGTGAAACAACCAAGAGGAGTATTTTTCTGAACACAAAGATTGGGTTTTCCTATTTCCTCTATTATCACAAGAACATTGTCCAGTTTTTATGGTACGTCGATTACACGATGTCGTAAAATCAGTCATTTTATCTACTATTCTGACTGATCAAAACACAGATTCCTTGTTTTACTTTCTCTCTGGTTCTTTTGTTTTCACAGATAATTTTTATCTTCGGTTGACGCCGAACACCTGGTGTTGCTAAGTTCTCCTTTTGGTTGAGCTAGGTGGTCGTCCGTTAGGAAGTGTTCATCATCCTGGCTTGTATACCTGGTGCAGATGGGCAACGCATATTTGATAACTAAGCTGAAATTATCTTTATGGTGATATATATTAGATATCAAAAAATTTTCAAGTTCCTATACAATTGAATATAACAACACAGGAATATGGTCATAAAATAATGTTAAGTTTTCTAAACTGATTTATATAATAATTCTTTTCAAATTAGGAAACCATATACGATTTTCATAATAGTTGTTTCTCAAGTTAGTTAGGTGCATACATACAATCTGTTAGCCAAGAGAAAGTTCACATGGAAAGGTTTCCTTTCCCTACAGTCACGAGTTTCGATCGTTCAAACGCGCGATCCCTATCGTACAGCGTATAAGTCGAATATGCTCGTGTGCGCGTGTATTTCACTGAAGGTCTAAAGCTCGCACCATCATTTGCTGCTGAAGTAAAGTCACGTGGGGCATATTGTTAAAAGGCGCCATCTGTCAAACCATGATTACGTGTGGTTGGCAGGTCTTATTAAGGTTCAGTTTTGGAATCCACAAAAGGCCTCATCGAGAAAGCCGTGATGAGCCTTATATTATAAGGTCCTTCAAAATTTAACTATTGCAGAAAGATTCCAAAATCTAGTGTGCAACAATCCAATATATTTTTAAATGCTTAAGAATAGCAACTTATTCCTTTCTTGTCAGTACACAATCAAATGCTAAATCTCATGATGTAAAGTGTTCTTTCTTATCAATCAATATTTGATATTCGAAAAATCATATAGAAAAACTTTATGATGGAAAACAATGTTCTCTTCTTTCACTATTTGGTATTCTAAAGATCATATGGAAAAAAAGGAACAACCGTCACTTGCATGGTAGCTTGTCTATCGCGTATGTGAAATGTGGAACGTGAGATTTCAATAAAACGAAGTTAAACAGACCTTCATACGTTAGAACAGTCTTTCAACCGATTCTATTGCTCGACCACAACTGGTGAGATGCGTAGTAAATACAGTTTCAACATAATATATGGGCCAACATAATATAGACGGCTAATTCTTGTTTTTCACCAAAATAATTTGTATTTAAGTATATATTAATATACCATGATGACTCTATATATATTACCAGCATATCCTACGAAAAATGATAAAGATCACACACTACTAATGATATTTTTGTTTCATTAATTAATGTATCTAATGGTTTGTTTTTTTTTGTTTCGCGCAAAGTTACACGCAAAGCCGTCCCTAATTTAGCAGTGTAAGACTAGAGGGAAGGCAAGTAGTCATCACCACCCACCGCCAACTCTTGGGCTACTCTTTTTACCAACGGATAGTGGGATTGACCATAACATTATAATGACCCCACGGCCTAAAGGGCGAGCATGTTTGGTGGGACTGGGATTCGAACCCGCGACCCTCAGCTTGTGAGTCGAACGCCCTGACCACTTGGCCATGCCTGGCCGTATCTAATGGCATACTTCGTAAAGCGAAAACAAAATATTGTCTCTAATAACAATGTGTGCAAAATATTTACGGAGTTTGATTTATAGTATAGTTTATTTTTATTGTTAAGCACAAAGCTACATAATGGGCTTTCTGTGCAGTGCCCACCGCAGGTATCGAAAACCGATTTTTAGACGTTGTTAGCACTTGGGACTTTATAGTATCATTCTGCTAAATTACTTTAAGTTGTTGTTTGTTTCAATTTTGAGCGTAGCCACTCGAGGGCTATCTGCGCTAACTGTTTCTAATTTAGCAGTGATAGACTAGAGATAGAAGTTAGTCAACAACACCAACAACTAACTCTTGGGCCATTCTTTTACCAACGAATAGTGGGATTGACCGTCACATTATAACGCCCCCCACGGCTGAAAGGGCGAACATGTTCAGTGTGACTCGAACCCACGACCCTCAGCCTGCGAGTCGAGCGCCCTAATCACCAGGCCAATCATGTCAAGAAATAGTCATAACACTAGAAAATCAAACATTTACAAATAAATGCAATGTCTCTCCCACCCACCTATTTTCAATAAACTAAGTAAATATCTTTTTTTCTAAATAATTGCATAGAGAAAAACGATGCCGTTACTGTATTATCCAATTCTTCTCGGTGGTAAAAGAAATTGTAAATCTACCACTCTGCTGTCGGTAGTAAACTTCATTTGTTGTCAAACAACGGCATAAAGATGTTGATTTAATGATTTATGTTTTGAAATATCAAAGGTCATTATTTTTCTGATATTACTGGTTAGTAAGAATTTGAAAACTGAAAAGAAGATTAGATGAAACAAATGATGTGAGTGGAGTGATTTAGAAATTGGGTATTTAGTATTTTTGCAATCTGAACGTCATCTTATGGGACACATAGTCTAAGCTGACAGGTCAGAGACCCCCTATGACTCAGGCATGGCTATCTCCAATTTAGAACTTTGATCAAAAGGAGAGCAACAAGTCAGCAGCACCAGCCAAATACGTTACTACTCTTAACCGAATAGAAGAGTCGACTCAGAGTTCTAGAAACAGGGGTTCGATACCCGTGATGGGCACAGTTCTGATAGCCCATTTTCAAAAGCATGCCGTGTCTTGAATCTTTTGATTTGCAGACAGGTATGCTAAACTTTAGACTACATCTAACTCAATAACTGGAAAAAATGGGTTTAATGGAGAAACAAAAGATTATTGTGGTAGTTGCTGTTAAAAAGAAGTTCTAAGAGGTTAAATTTTTTAGCTCAGATAGTAAAGCCGAGATTGTTTGAAGTTATGCACAAAGCTAAACAATGGGCTATCTGTGCTCTGCCCTCCGCGGCTATCGAAAACCGGTTTCTAGTGTTGTAAGTCCGCAGACATATCGCTGGGGGGCAAGTATCAAGTCTGATCCGATGATCTAAAAGAATATGGATTACCGCACTTTGAGTTGACAGCTGTAATATAAAGATGTTCATAGGAATAACGCACGCAACAGATAAGAAATATAACCAAGTTTTGTAATCTAATTAATTCAGACAGTATATTTAACGCAGGCTAAACCAATCTGGACTACTGTTTAATCAATTTAGCAGATCTGTCTCGCTCGACAGATTTAACTCAGTAAAAAATTAAATGTTTACAAAATCACGGTTTCCTGCTACTAATAAGAGACTAGCTAAAAGTCGGCGAGCACTACATTTTCCAATGTAAATATTGGACAATGTAAGTACCGCAAAGGTATCATTCAGTAAACTAAGACCACACAGACCCATGAAAATACAGAGGCAAACTAAAGTAGTAACAGGTATGACATGCTTAAAATAAAGGTTACACGATGCCAAGAGATATTTAAAATAAAACAAAAAATACATTAATTTCAATTAGTTTTGCAACAGAATTATACAGAGGTTGAGCACGTAATATAAAAACGATTTTTAAGCCTCATCACATAGTTACAGTCGATGTCGCCACGTCCTGGCATGCTCTATCTGACGACCGTGCATTTTGACAATAGCCCTGAAGCATACTTTCAGTCGTAAGGTTGTCATATCGAAAACATCTCAATCCTCCCTGCTGTTTTTCTTATTCTCTCTCTAGTGTACAATGCAGAAGGCCGATCGCACAGAAATCCATGTCGTGGAAGCAATTTGTGTGCACGTGAGTTGTGTCTCTCTCCAGACGGAGATCCTTTTTTATTATGTTGCACATCGTTTCCTGGGACGCGTGGACGACTTTTGCCACTGACTTTTGTTTGTTTATGAATTCCCACCTATTACGCTTTGCTTACCACAGCTGGGATATAACCAGTGGCAGGACTTTTTCTGGATGGTTCTTTTACCTTAAGTTGACCCATACATCTTTGTTTTCCAACACCATTAATTACAGGAGATATCCGCGAATTTATATTGGGTGTTTTTCGCGTAACATGCTGATTTGTATACTCAAAATCGTTTTAATACAACGTACTCTATTCTTGTAGCAATATAAACTGACAATGAACATATTACAACTATACAACTATAAAACTGAAAATGTAATAGAAAATGATTGGTAAACTCTCACGAAACTTCATCAAACACGAATAATTAGATTTTTTTTCTCACAAGGTAATAATGTAGACCATTTTATTTATAAAACATTTTTTAACTAGCAATTGTAATGGTTCGGACAATTTATTTTAAATATTCATAATTAATTAGAAAATAAAGCATTATTACTGTCTCTAGTAGAGAACAGTATCATATAGAGAATAAAGAGGTACGTTTTTCTCTTGTTTCGATTGAATGATTTTGAAAATGTTTCAGCCACATCATTAACTAAAGTGTTTTCATATTATCAACATATGCTCATTTCGTAATAATGACTTCTTCTATGAGACACGAACGTTATACGCCTTTAAGTGTCAACCATTTTCATATATAATTCTTTAGCCATTATATTTTACTAATTCTTATGGTAATTCATAAGAGGTAAGAATTAATTCGAGGGTTAAAAATTAATTTTCTATTGTGATAATCTGTCAGTTGATTAGTAGACAGCAGGTTATTATCCTGAAAGAACCTCAAGCTTATCAGCTTTTTTTGGATTAGTCATAGAAAAATCAAACAATAAGAATGTTTAATACATATACGTTGAAAACAAAGCAAGACCACTAGAGAAAATATGAACTTCGTACACAAATGCTAGGTTACAAATAATTGCTGAAGAAAGAGTTTATGAAGTATAAAGCAGCTATACTGTTTGTTTGTTTGTTTTGAATTACGCGCAAAGCTACACGAGGGCTATCTGTGCTAGCTGTCCATAAATCAGCAGTGCAAGACTAGACGTAAGGCAGCTAGTCATCATCAACCACCGCCAACTCTTGGACTACTCTTTTATCAATAAATAGTGAGATTGACTGTAACATTAAAACGCCCCACACGGCTGAAAGGGCGAGCATGTTTTGGGTGGGACGGGGATTTGAACCCACGACCCGAAGATTGCGAGTCGAGCGCCCTAACCGATTGGCCATGCCAGACTAAGCAGCTACAGCAGTTCTAAAACATATATATTATTACGATTTCAAATATATATATTTTTAACAACGTATTAGATCCCAGGGTGGCCTAGTAGTTAACGTCCTAGGCTTTTGATCGAAAAGTGTGTGTGTGTGTGTGTGTGTTTGTGTGTTTTGTTCTAGCAAAACCACATTCGGCTATCTGCTGTGTCCACCGAGGGGAATCGAACCCTTAATTTTAGCGTTTTAAATCCGAAGAGTTTATCGCTGTCCCAACTGGGGACTTGATCAAAAGTTTCAATCTAGGGGGAATTGCCACTGTATATGCTCTGCTTTTTGTTAAAATGACATGAATTCTGCTTTTGACTTGTTCGACTATTTGGCGGTGGATA